ATGATTTGCAAGATCTTTCTGCTGTTCAACATGATTGAATAATCCAAAGGAAAACCAGTACTTTATTTATTTAGTTTTGTTTAATTACTGTGGGTTGTCATGAATAAATCTCACTCATTAACTTACACAGTGCATAACCTTGACCATAACAAGCAAATTATGTTCTACAGATTTTTGCAAGCTATGTTACAGTTTATAGGACGTCACCTTTCCTTCCAAGAGAGATGATTTCCAAGAGCCTTTTGCAGTTCAACACGCTTGAACATGCCAGAGGCAAGCCAGTGCTCAGTTTATAAGTATTTTTATTTTATTATTTTAAAATTAATATTGTTATGGAATCATTTAGTTATTTAGTTTCCTTATGTCCGTATTGCATTATGGTAGTTGCCAATTCTGGTTGTTTTCTAATTAAGTTAAGTCTATATTTCGGTAGTTGCTAATTCTGGTTGTTTCCTAGTTAAGTTAGGTCTATTTTGCTTATAAATAATGGGTGTAAGCCTTAGGGCTCTTCAGTTTTTTATGATTAATGTATTTTGAGTTTTATTGCTCTTTGTTCCAACTTTGGTTAATTCTGTGTGAATCAACTTTAGTTGAGCCTTTAAACTCGGTATTCTTGGGAATCAACGGGTCTAAAGAGGAGTCTTATTTCTGGTAGTCTTGTGTGAATCAACGGATTTTAAGATTGTTACTATTGTTTCGATCAGCACTGCATCAGGTGGTATCAGAGCCTGCTACGTTCTTGCTTCAAGCCTAGGAATCGCAATGATACTCGAGAGGTTCTTGTGGAGGAGGAGGTAATAGATGATGATTCTAACCTGCTGAGTTTTCATAGTGAAAGACCGAGGGGAGATCATGCATTGAAAATTTATAAAGATCACGTGAACCAAATTACTAAACATGATGATATGATTAAATGGCCTTTCACATCAAAAATTATTCCAGATCCGATTGTGGATTGGAGTAAGCCACCGATTTTTTATGATGAACCATTCATTGATGGGACTAATAATATGTTTAATCATCTTTTGTCTGTTGGAAGCATAAATCAGAGATATGGAAGGGTTGGTGTTAATTTTATTTTTGTGGAAGATCATACACTTGATTTACATGAGTTTAATGAGCATTCAAAATCGATTTACAGTATGGAGAAAATTTTCTATGATCAGTTTGAAGAGAAATTTCATGAAGAGTTTACAAATTTTAGTTTAAACCGTTCAAATTTGGGCTTTGATGAAGATGTGTTAAATTTGTTGAAGAAAGTTGTTCCTTTAATTTTAGGAAACTCTTCTTTGAAGTTTAGATTTACAAAAATTAACCTCAAATACAAGGTTGATGCGGATAAGTGCAGACGTGCCAAGTTATTTCAAGCAATAGAAACTCGAGGACGAGTTTTCTCAAGCGGGGAAGAATGATGCAGATTGAATTTTAGAAAATAAGTATTTTTATTTTATTATTTTAAAATTAATATTGTTATGGAATTATTTAGTTATTTAGTTTCCTTATTTCCGTATTGCATTATGGTAGTTGCCAATTCTGGTTGTTTTCTAATTAAGTTAGGTCTATATTTTGGTAGTTGCTAATTCTGGTGGTTTCGTAGTTAAGTTAGGTTTATTTTGCTTATAAATAATAGGTGTAAGCCTTAGGGCTCTTCAGTTTTTGATGATTAATATATTTTGTGTTTTATTACTCTTTGTTCCAACTTTGTTTAATTCTGTGTGAATCAACTTTGGTTGAGCCTTTAAACTCGGTATTCTTGGGAATCAATGGGTCTAAAGAGGAGTCTTATTTTCGATATTCTTGTGTGAATCAACGGATCTTAAGATTGTTACTATTGTTTCGATCAGCACTGCATCACATTCCAATTCATTTGAAAAAAATAAGCATTGAAACCATCAGGCCCTAGAGGTTTGTCTGGTTTAATGCCAAATACGGCAGCCTTTATTTCCCCAACAGTTAATGGTTTCACAAGAAGACCTTGCTGATCATGCTGGAGTTGAGGGAGACCAAAACTATTAAGAACAAGTCACCCTTCCCTTTTTTGTGCAAATTCAGATCCCAACAACTGCTTGTAATATATAACGATTTCCTCCTTTAGTAGTTTAGGATCCTCTAATGCATCTCCATTCAAAGCTCTATGCTTAAGATTTTATTCCTCAGCCTATGATTGCACATGTTCTGGTGGAAAACTTGGTATTTTGATCACCCAACCTAAGCCAATTAATCCTAGCCTTCTGTTTTTTAACAGATACTTCTGCTAGGGTGAATTCTGCATCAAGGAATTAGCATCTAAGCTCTTTATCTGAAAATGTAGCTTGAAATTGCTTCAAATTGCTCCAAATTTTGCCTTGCCTCCACCACTCTAGTTGAGATGTTGGAATAATGATCTTTGTTGAGCTGCCTAAGAATAAGTTTAAGCCTTTTGAGCTTGGCTTGGAACTTCACCATAGGTGATCCCTGCTGTGGCTACATCCATGAATCCTCCAAAAGCTTAAAGAACTTTCCATTTTTCAACCAATAGATCTTTTGTAACAACTCAGATTTTTAATTATTTAGTAAAATTTATACTAATATTATTTAATCACAGTTAAGAAAATATACGATTTATTTTATATTATTACGTGTAATTTTGTAAAATAATATAATTATTAAGAATTTAGGGGTCAAAGTATAATTAAATAACTAAGTTAAGCTTATCCATTGAATAGGTTAGAGATAAACTTGAATTAATTTCGTATTGATGGGAATGCGACACGTGGCAACTTGGGGCCACGGCTATCCCTCTATAAAAGAGAGAATTTGCTGGGGAGAAAGAAAAGGGAATGAAAGGAATGAGGGAAAAGGAAGCGAAGAAAAGGGAAAGAAAATAATGTAAGTCGGAAGAGTCTTTGGTAATGGAAAGAAAGAGTAAGGTATTAATTTTAAGGTGAGTTATATTATACCTTGAGTTACCATAATATATTTTACATATATTTTGACTTACTATAATTTATTTTATACAAGTTATGTTTTATAAATTATATTAATATTCCAATTACGTGGATTATTTTCTAAACCCTATTTGCTTAAAATGAAACCCATGGACATATTTGTTTAACTTTTAATGATTATTTGACTATAACCTTATAAACAATTATGTTTTGTAAGTACCACCAAGGGAGTCCTACGCCTTGGGGGACTTAAATAACCATTAGCCTCTGTTTAGTCACTTTGTAGCCATCTGTTGTCATGGATTCATTGACCCTCTGAATTTCTGGTGTGGAGCAAAGTACTGTACGGAGCTAAGTGCTACACTATTGTGGGAGCCACCTCTAGAGTTCGTACGAGCCACCTTTTGAATCCATGCATCTGTTCTGTTCTGTACCGTAGTTATGGTTATTTATTTACATAATCTCAGTTTTGCTACTTAAATAATTATTTGTTTAGACTAAGTGATCTTAAATATTTTAGTTACATAACTATCCATAGTTATTTTGTGTCTCTTATACTCTTGGTATAATATTTCTCACTCAGTCATGTGCTTATAGCTGTTTACCAATTTTCAGGAAACAATGCAATTCAGAGATAGTTTTTGGAAAGTCTTAGACGCTTGCTTATATGTAAATATCGGCCTTTTTGGTCAATAAATTTTGTAATAAAAATAGAAGCTCCGATGATTATTTTGGTACCCTCACTTAAATATTACTTCAGCTCGCATTTATTGATTTGTTCAAGAATTGGCCGAAGGTAACTTTAGTTACTGGCCATCATGATGCTTAACCCTTGGGTACGGGGAGCGGGTCGTGGCATCTTTAGTCTCAAATAGTTCCCATCTTTCACTGTTCATCCATGCTGATTCCATCACCAGTGCAAACTTCACCCAGATCATTCACAAAATAAAAGTGAAATTGTGGTGGCCTCACCCGGATGTCCATCCGGATGTCCGGCTGATTTCCAGATTTTTTTTTTTTTTTTTTTTTTTTTTTTTTTTTTTTTTTTTTTATTTTTATCATGGGCATACTTTGAGTTTGTTCTTAAAATTCTGTTGATAATGGCGGTGGTTGATTTGAGGTCTTGAAGGGTTGGAGAAGATGGAAGGATAAGCGACTTCCTTGTCCATGGTGTGAAAAGCACAAGACCAAAGAAAAAGAAGATGTGGGGCTTGGTCCTCACCTCCTTGAAAGTTACATTGTAGAACATTTTGTCTATTTATATTGATTTTCCCTGACAACAACTGTTGAAATGTGTCTCACATCGCCTGGAATTGCCCTATCTGTACTGGTTATAAGGCTCCAGTTTCCATTTCCTTAATACCTGAATTTTAAGGAAAAGTGTGGGCTGGGCTTTTCAATTTGGTATCAAAGCTTAGTTGGGCCTGTGATTGGTGTGCCGTTTGTCCAGATACTGTATGTTGTGGTTCAGTCCAGCAGGATGTGTTGGAATGTGTCCCACATCTCCTGGAATTGCCTCATTTGTGATGCTAGTTATAAGGTTTCAGTTTCCCTCTCCTTAATACTTGGGTTTTAAGGAGAAGTGTGAGTTAGGCTTTTCAATCCAGGTGATGTGGGACACATTCCAACACATCCTCCTGGACCACAACATATAGTAGCCAAACAAACGGTACACCAATCATAGGACCAATCAAACTCTAATACCAAATTGAAAAGCCCAACCCACACTTCTCCTTAAAATCTAGGTATTAAGGAGAGCGAAACTAGAGCCTTATAACCAGCACAGATGGGACAATTCCAGGTAATGTGGGACACTGGTTCCCTGGCAATGGGCCACCCTTAAAATTATCAAAACGGAGAAAATATAAATTATTACACTAAAGCCATATGATGACCTTAATTGGAGAACAAAGAAAAATAAAATACTAAAAATATTGTACACTACAATGCTAGTTCATCTAATTTCCCCATTGAATCATTGTTCTCCTATTTTCGATCCATACTCCCTCCAACCAAAATGAATTTTTCACAAGAAACTTTAGCGCTAATGCAACACATAAGAATTAAGGGACATGAAGAAATCATCGCAACATCATTAATGAGACACAAAATATGTATCAAACTTATCCAACATACAAGTGAATCAACATACTGCAATCATTTGATAGAGATACTAATACATACTTAAAAGACAACTCAATTCTGAAGACATAATAAGTAATGCTAAATAAACGTACCACAATACGCAAAGCATGGGGATCATCATCACGGTCAACAAGTGCTAAAAGCAAAATATCCAAGGGAAGCAGCTCATTGGTCCAAACAAAATATGCAAGGTTTGTGGAAGTTTTTAATATAAGCTCCTGAAAAATACAACACTGATGATTATTTTGAGAGAGAGGAAGGGGAAGAAAAATAAAAGGAGGGTACAATGCCAAACCTGCAAGGAATGTCCATGTTGTAGCTCCAAATGAATGTGATGAAGAAGGACATCCATCATTTTATAAATGTTCGTTGTCACTTCTTCAGGAGAAAATTCTCCTAAGACACATCCCTGAATTTCATCACCCACACAGAAAAAGATTAAACAGCAAAGTTTTTGCAGGAGAAATATCAAAAACTAAAATGATGGCAAGGAAGGAAAATATTTTCTAGTGAATTGGGGGAAAAAAAGGCAGTGTGAATTTACCAGGTTTGCACTGTTAATGTTCTCAGGATGGCCATGCATTAGTACCCATGCACCAGCACAAAGATAATCTTGGTGCATTGGAAAACTGTGACTGATGTAAGTCATGGCATAAGTAGGATCAGCTGACGGTGAAAGAAGCTGAGTGCACTGCTTAATCACAGTAGTTTCTGACTGCCAAAATGAAATGACAATATGTGAATAAGTGAAGTTTCTTTTTTTTTTTGTAACTTAAAAACCTGCGGCGAATTCAAACTAACCAACATTATGACGTAGGACAGCACTAGATTTTGAATAAGTTATTTGATGGCCTAAACAATGATTAATTTAGGGTTTTAATAAGTAAATTGAAGGCTAATAAGTAAGGGAAGGGATTAGGGTTGGTTCTGTAAGTTTCTGAAGAATATTGTATATTCAACTTGTATCTCAATGACATCAAGACCTTAGTTTATATAACCCGAAAGCCTAAACCAAAAAGGAAATACGGAACCATGCCTAATATATACACAATCATGCCTAATATATACACAAACATGCCTAATATATACAATTATATTCTCACATGTTCTGGGGAGATTGGATAAGATTTTGAATAGGTGTGATCATAACAATTCACTACAAAATTAGTCAAGCAAGAACCTAGTGGCATCCAAAAATTGAAGATGAAGAACAAAACATGTTTATCACAATTCACAATAATAAGAAGAAGTGTAAGAACTCCTTGATTCTATTTTTTTTGCAGCATGAAAATCCATCCAAGAGCAATCAAACAATAGGGAATACCTAAATTCATAACCTTCAACACATCAATCCTCCCATCATCAAAAGCACAAAATTCTACAAGGTTCAAGAACACAATCAACAGCCTTCTTCAAATTAAATTGCACGAGATATAGAAGATTTCTTTTTTGACTCTGGAATACAAGCATTCGCCTACAATGAGCACATCATTTTATTTTAATTTTTTTTTATAGGTAAGTTAGGAAGACTCAAACTTCAGTCTCTTTATTAGGAGAAGACAGCCTAAGCCGTCGAAGTATTCTGTATGGGGCAAGAAATTTTCCAGATTTTAAGAAAACATTTCAGAAGATCAAAGATTTGACATCCCCTATAAGAAAGAAAAAATTGGTAAAGATTTTGAAGACTCGTAAAGGGCTAGAAGATGATGTTATGAAGTCATGGTGCCTTTACAAATAAGTGTGATTTTTTTCTCCACACCTCATCTCTATCCCCTTCTGAATAGGGTTTATCATCTTTTATAATTTAAACCTATCAGGATTCAGAGCTTTATTTACTTCAAAATTAATAATCTCTTCTTCAGGCAATGAACAAGACAAGAAGGCTAGTTCATCACCCAGCAGAAGAGAGGGAAATACCAAATTCTTCCTTAGCATCTACACCTTCTCTCATCCCTATTAAGTGTTAGTTTTCATCCTTGAATTCCTCATCCAAATTCTGCAAATGACTTCAGCAGAATTTTTATTTTTATTTTTATAAGTAATAAACAAAACTTTATTTAAGAAGCATCAAGATGATGCAATAAATACAAAAAAAAAAAAAAAAAAAAAAGCCCCAAAGGGGCAAGAATCACCCTCTAACCAATGACCTCATCCAAAAAATCTAAAAAACCAAACATGTCTGGATCAATTTTCCTCTCTAACCAACTATACAAAACTACAAGTAAACGACTCTCAAGCTAACTACCTGTATGATAAGTCTCTTCAAATGTACGCCTATTATGCTCCAACCACACTAGCCACATCAAATAGAATGGAACCAAAGACCACACGCGCCACCTTCGAAGGCCCACCCGAGCCCCACGCCAACTCCACAACATGTCCACCACCCTTCGTGGCTGAGCCCAAACAATCCCAAAAAGGGAACAAACAAATCCCCACAAACGGAACGTCACAGGAGAGTGCAACAACAAATGATCCACAAACTCTACATCTTGACAACATATACAACACCGATTTACTAGAATATGACTACATTGCATCAAGTTATCTAGAGTAAGATTTTGGCCCCAGGTTGCCGTCTACATAAAGAAAACCACCTTATACAAGACCTCCAGCACCTAAATAACTCTTCCAAGGAAAATCTTGTCTCACCTCCCCCACCATACTCCAATAGAACGACAAAACCAAAAAACACCCATTAGCTTCCGCAACCTTCCACACCAACACATCCTCCCCTATCCCAGTCACACTCAACCCATACAGATATACCCATAACTCCACCAACTGATCAACCTCTCAATCCTGGACTTGTCGTCATAACTGAATATCCCAAACCATCCCATCCCCACCCCCCAAATAAGATGCCACCATCGCCTCCTTATCCACCACAACACTGAAAATCAAAGGAAAGTGATCCTTTAGCAAAACCACACCAAAACACCTATTCTTCCAGAATCGCACCCTTAGCCCAGTGTCCACCCGAAACCCCACCCTTTCCCAAAACACCCTACTCCCCAACCAAATCCCCTTCCATAACCCACAACCATGAGAACCAAGCACATCCCTTGACCCCCATCCCCTCCAAGCTAAACCATACTTACCAGCCACCACCTTTCTCCATAAACGCTTTAGCTTCCAAGCAAAGCGCCACAACCATTTCCCTAGCAAAGCTTGGTTAAAAGTCAACAAACTCCTCACCCCTAGCCCTCCGGCCACTATCAGTTGGTAAATCCAACCAATAAAATATGAACAACATAAAACTGACAAATTTAAGAAAATTCATATCAAAGTGAAGCATATTATGAACCTGTTGCCATTTTTGGATTGCCAATCCTCTTGTATCCATCCACCCATTCAAGGCATCACGAAGAATAGAAGGGAAGTAGCGTAGAGTCTTTTCTGACCATGTATGTTGACCGATTGACAATATCTGGTCCAACATGCTTGGAAGATAGAGCATCTAATCAGCCTCAGTAATCCCACGTGTCTTAATGATGATCTCAAGGGTTGTTATGGTTATACGATTCAAGGTTTCTGTGAATTCAGTAGGACCCTGAAAAGAAATATACACACTTGGATTTTAATTCCCAGTAGCAATGAAGGAATTTGTAATTTTAAGTCCATATTTCCTACCTTCCCTTCCTTCTTCACAATAAAAAACTCTCTCAAAGAAAAAATAAGATTCATGAACAAGTTTTCAGCCAATCTAAAAATGCGATGATCTCCACGTTTCCCTTTTAGCGTGGAAATTATTTTCGTTATATCATACATCAAGTTCTTGCTTTTGCCTTGGTGCCTACAAAGCAAAAAAATAAGTAAGTTACAATTTTTCAATGTTGTTACATCAATTTGCATATACTTAACTAGATTTTCAACTCAATGTCAAAGTTCCATGGCAACTAAAAGCCAATGGATTCTAGAGAGAAAGATTGGAATACAAATATTTGATTGCCATGACAGTTCTCGATCTTCTTTTTGTTTCAACATACTCAAATGGAAGCTTTTTCATTCAAAGCCGAGAAGTTTTACCAGATTGACTAACATTCAATTACCTGTAGAGTGAAAGCAAACGGTAGTTCAGAATTTCAAGCACCAAAAGAGAAGGTCCAGGCTGGTTCAAAATGGCTGGATTCCTCTGTGACAGATGCTGAAAGGAGTTGCAATATTATGGCACTTTTCCATTAGTAAGCAAAAGCTTTTCTCATAAAATAAGGGAAAAAGTGAGACAAGTAGATTCTTGGCCAAGAATAATGTCATCTTACTGAGACTAATAGAAATATAGAAGTGTGATATTGACAAAGCAAGGTGAGTCCAAAATGCCTAATCATAAGGGACACAAATTGGCTGATCCTCTCAAAAATAAAGAGAGAAGCCAAACGCACTATAGCGACCCCGGTCTTTTCTCTTTAAATTATTGTATCCGGACTTAGGTTCCGTGGATCCTGTCATTACTTATTGGTTGTTGTTGTCCTTTAATCTCTTTGTATTTAAAGTATAGGTTGTGTTGGGCGGGTCTGTTACAGGTTGGTTGATTTTAGATGCCAATAGGTGATGCCCAGATTTTGGCCTTCACGCTCGAGCGGAAGTTTTAACGCTCGAGCGGTCCCTTCGTTGTTGCTTCTCCGCTCGAGCGGGAAATTTTGACGCTCGAGCGTGATTTTCCATCTCCCAGTATTTGCTCTGCAGTTCTTCCGCTCGAGCGTGATCCCTTGTTTTTGCTCCTCCGCTCGAGCGGGGAGTTTGACGCTCGAGCGGGTGCCAGCGCCTGGGAAACTTCTGGAAGGGTGCAATCGAATTTTATCAAACACGTAATAAGCAAGGAATATAGAATGGTTATCAAATGATAGTAAATGGGTTGATTTTGCGAAACCCAAACCCAAAATCAAAATCAAATTCGTGAAACCCAACCAACTCTTCATAAAAGTGTAAGA